CCTGTGCCCCTCTTGGCTGCTTCTCCCTCCTCCCTCCTCCTTCCTCTCTCTCTTCCCCCTAGGCTAGTGTGGTCCCCATGGCAACTCCTGGGGCCTGTCAGGCAGGGAGGCACGGGGCTGTGGGGAGGGCTGGCTCAGCAGCTCAGGAGTTTGACACCTGAGTGGGACAGGATGCTCACTCAAGGTGTGGTCCTAGGGACGCCCGCCTTGCCCCTGTGGGGCAAGAACCCCAGATGGGAACTTGGGGTTCTCATCTGCAAAATGGGGATAATAATAGCTTCTCTGTCTCAGAGTTGTTAGAGGATATGATGAGCCATAACGTGCCAAGGACAGGGCCTGGCACAGAATAAGTGCTCAGAAAACAGGGCCTGTTATTATTTTTATTATTATCATCAAGGCAGTGGGGAGGCGGCGGTGGCAGCAGCTGTAGGCCAGGAAGGGAGTGTTTGCAAACTGACAGCTGGAAGGGTGACTAACAGCGCAGCAGCCTCCGCGCCCCGCTGTGGTGGCAGGGAGTTTGGGGAGGAAGAGGGAGGCATGGGGATATGGAATGCTAGCAGGGCCCCTATTCAGAAGGACCTAAAGGTTGGGGGCCCAGCCAGCCCTAGTGGGACCCTAATTCAAGCTCTGTCACCCCTAACTAGCTATGTGACTTCAGGCAAATTGTTCAACCAGTTGAGCCTCAGTTTCTGCTTCTGTAAAATGGAGGTAAGAGGGTTAGAAGAGCTCATAATCCTCCTTCCCTCCCCGCCACCCCCACCCCCACAGCTTACAGTCCACGGGAGGCAGGGGCAAGGGGTCCCTGCCATCCCTACCTCCACAGCTTACAGTTCACGGGAGGCAAGGGGTGGTTCCTGTACTCAGTGGTGACTGAGTCATGTGGATGGAGGCAGGTTTCAGGCTCATCCTCCTTGAGCCTCAGTGTCCCTGCCTAAACAGCAGGAGTTGATGGCCTGGCCTCTGGGAATAGGAAGGGCCTGTGTTCTGGGAGGAACAGAAGCTCTTTCGTCCAGGGGATGGGGCAGGGGCGCACCAGATACTTCCAAGTTCAGGGTTTCTTTCCAGCCCCTCCTCAGCCAGCTTGCAGGGGATCCCTGTCCTCCCCTTCAGTGTAAGTAAGGGATGTGAGACTTAGAAGAGTTGAGTCACTCACCCCAAGTCGCACAATCAACAGAGCCAAGTATTAAGCCCAGGCCTGACTATAGAGCCAGGTATGTGGCCTGGAAGTGTTGGTTCTTCCTGACTGTCTCCTCCCCAGCTCCTTCTGCTCTCCACGATCACATGCTCCCCTGCTGAGGCCCCATCACCCTCAGAATCAAACCCTGGTTCCTCACATTGGCAGTGGAAGCCCCCCTGCTGCCTGGCAGAGTTTACGCCAGGCCCACTTGAAACCATCCCCTACAGTGTCCCCTGAGCAGCGGTGCTCAGGGTGGACTCTGGAAGCATGTGGGGTCCTAGAGCCCCAGATGGGCAGGGTCTGCCTCCCCGCTTCCCTCACCATCGGCTTCCACCCGGGCCAGTTTCTCACACTGTGTCAGTCCCCTGCCTGACACTGTTGCTCAGACTGCTGCACCAACTCGGGTGCCTTCCCTGGCCTGCCCTCTGCCTGTCTAAGCCCTGCAATCTTCAGGGCTCAGCCCCAGAGCTCCCCCTCCAGGGAGCCTGCCTAAGCTCTGCAGTCCCTGCCTACTTTGCACCCTCAGCACTTTGCACTAAAATGTCTTCTCCCATGCCACTGCACTCCAGTCTGGGCAACAGAGCAAGACTCCATCTCAGTAATAACAATAATAATAAAATAAAATGTCTTCTTCCATTGGGGTAGGTAGCAGTATTTGTGACTGTCAGGCTAGCCCCCAGACCTCATCCATTGTATCAAAGAGCCCAGCAAACAGGCTCATGGAGAAGTTTCTCCTCTAACACACTGTGACCACAAAGATGCCACTGGCCCTTTCTCAGCCTCAGTTTCTTCACCTGTAGAAAGGAAACAGTAGTTCCAGCCCCTGTGCTTCCTGAGACAGGTCCAAGGGGGCCCTGGGCTGGGACTACAAAGTATGTATGTGCAGACCGGTGGGTTGCTGCTCTTAGGGAATGGGGTTGGCTAGGGTAGCTTTTCTGGGGAGTCAACTTTATTGAAGTAAATATACGGTTGACCCTTGAACAACACAGGAGTTGAGGGCATCAACCTCCTCCCTGCAGTCAAAAAAGCGTATATTAACTTTGACTCCTCAAAAACTTTACTACTAATAGCCTTTTGTTGTCAGAAAGCCTTGTAGATAAAGTTGAGACTCATTTTGTTTGTTACGTATATTATATACTGTATTCTTACAATAAAGTAAGCTAGGGAAAATAAAATGAGAAAATCATATGGCCGGGTGCAGTGGCTTATACCTGTAATCTCAGCACATTGGGAGGCCAGGGCAGGCGGATCACTTGAGGCCAGGAGTTCGAGACCAGCGTGGCCAATATGGTGAAACCCTGTATCTACTAAAAATACAAAAATTAGTCTGCTGTGGTGGGCACGCCTATGATCCCAGCTACTCAGGTGGTCGAGGCATGAGAATCACTTGAACCTGGGAGGCAGAGGTAGTTGCAGTGAGCCGTGAGTCACCCCACCACTACACTCCAGCCTGGGCGACAGAGTCTCACTCTGTCTCAAAAAAAAAAAAAAAAAAAGAAAAGAAAATCATAAGGAAGAAGAAATACATCTACTGTTCTTTAAGTGGAAGGGGATCATTATGAAGGTCTTCATCCTTCACATTGAGTAGGCTGAGGAGGAAGAGGAAGAGTTGGTCTTGCCATCACAGAGTTGGCGGAGGTGGAGGCGGAGGAGGTGGAAAGGGAGGCAGAAAATGCAGGCATACCCGGTGTAACTTATTGAAAAACATCCAGCCACGTGTGGTGGCGCATGCCGATAGTAACAGCTACTCAGAAGGCTGAGGCAGGAGGATTGGCTGAGCCCAGGCGTTTGAGGCTGCAGTGAGCTATGGTCACGTCACTGCACTCCTGCCTGGGCAACAGAGTGAGACCCTTTCTCAAAGAAAAAAGGAAAAAAATCCATGTGTAACTGGACCTGCGCAGTTCAGACCCGAGTTGTTCAACGGTCAACTGTACACCAAAAAGTGTGCCGATCACAAGGGTACAGCTCAGTGAACTGTCACAGAGTGGACCCACTTCATGATTCGGCTCAGGCAGTCAGACAACCCACCCCACAGGTCCCCTTGCATTCCTTCCAGTCTCCCTGTCCCAAGAGCAGCTATCCTGACAGCATGGATTAGTTTGGCCAGATTTTGAACTTTATTCATATGGAATTACATAATATGTACTTTTCTGTGCTGGCTTCTTGGTTAACATTTTATATATATATATTTTTGTTGTTGTTGTTTTTTCTTGTTTTTTTTTTTTTTGAGAAGGAGTCTCACTTTATCGCCCAGGCTGGAGTGCAGTGGCTGGATCTCAGCTCACTGCAAGCTCCGCCTCCTGGGTTTACGCCTTTCTCCTGCCTCAGCCTCTCGAGTAGCTGGGACTACAGGCGCCCGCCACCTCGCCTGGCTAGTTTTTTGTATTTTTTAGTAGAGATGGGGGTTCACCATGTTAGCCAGGATGGTCTCGATCTCCTGACCTCGTGATCCACCCATCTTGGCCTCCCAAAGTGCTAGGATTACAGTATTTATTTATTTAGAGGCAGGGTCTCACTCTGTCACCCAGGCTGGAGTGCAGTGGTGTGACCTTGGCTCACTGTAGCTTTGACCTCCCTAGGCTCAAGCAATCCTCCCACCTCAACCTCCTGAGTAGCTGGCACTAAAAGCACGCAGCACCGCCCTCGGCTAATTTTTGTATCTTTAGTAGAGACTGGGTTTCACCATGTTGCCCAAACTGGTCTTGAACTCCTGGGTTTAAGCCATCTGTCTGCCTCAGCTTCCCAAAGTGCTGAGATTACAGGTATGAGCCACTGTGCCTGGCCATCATTATGTTTCGAAATTTATCAGGATTGGCCAGGCACGGTGACTCATACCTGTAATCCCAGCATTTTGGGAGGCCGAGGTGGGTGGATCACCTGAGGTCAGGAATTTGAGACCAGCCTGGCCAACATGGTGAAACCCCATCTCTACTAAAAATACAAAAATTAGCCAGGTGTGGTGGTGCGTGCCTATAATCCCAGCTACTCAGGAGGCTGAAGCAGGAAAATAACTTGAACTCAGGAGGTGGAGGTTGCAGTGAGTCGAGATTGTGCTACTGTACTCCAGCCTGGGCCAGACTCCGTCTCAGAAAAAAAAAAAAAAAAAAAGCAAGGAAAAGAAAATCATCAGGGTTATTTAATGGTTGGAGTTTGTGTTGGAGTTTATTTGATGGTTGGAGTTTGCTGCCATTCGTAGTCCCTTTTGTGAATGTGCCACTGTTTATCCATTTTCCTCTGGATCGGCATCTGGGCAGCTCCCAGTTTGAGGTTTATTACTAAGCATGCCGCTTGTAGCCCTCCTATGTCTGTCTAAGTGGACACATGCCCTGTGTCCTCTTGGTGTGTACCTAGAAGTGGGGTTGGTATACATTTAGAGATGCCCAGGCAGGCTTTTGCAGGTGAAGGACCCGAGGGCCCACAGCATAAGGGACTTTCCCAGATCACACAGCCCCTTCCTAGAGCTGCCCCAGGGCCCTTTTCCCCACAGAACCGTAGCTGGAACTAGGCCTGGGGCTGATGGGGCCGATGGGCAGGTGGCCATAGTCCTGCTAGCCCTCTAAGCCCCCTTGGCTCCTTTCTGTCAGTCCTGGAAGGGCCCCTGTGGCCTTAGGGTTGGTGGCTCCCTCTGTCCCTGGGGGTCCTCAGCCTTCATGCTCCTCTACCCAGTACCATCAGCCTGCCAGGACTGGAGAGAATGGCCCGTGTGTCAAATTCCAGCACAGGACGCTCTTGGCACCTGTTTACGCCCAGTGAGGAGCCAGATCTCAGCAGTTGGGGGGCATTTCTTCACACCCCTCCTCATTCTTCATTCTCTTCCCCACAGGTCTAATGGTACCAAGTGACGGGTCGGCTTTACTGTGACTCGGGGACGCCAGAGCTCCTGAGAAGATGTCAGCAATACAGGTACCACAAGGGTGAGGGTCTGGGACATGCAAGCATTCCCACCGGCCCCGGTGGGGTGCTTAGTGGAGGAGAGAGGATGCAGCTTAGATCAACCCACTCCCCTTTTTCCCAGCACCCAGTCAGACACAGGCCGGGGGAAGTGGGGGAGTCTCAACAGGAAGGGACCCAGGGCTCGTTCTCCGGGCAGAGCACCTCACCCAGGCTCACAGAGGCCAGCTCAGAGGCTGTGACCACGAGGGTGTCCGGGCAGGTGGCTGGAGGGGTCCCAGGCTGCACCTGCCCACCTGTCACCTGTCCTGCAGGCCGCCTGGCCATCCGGTACAGAATGTATTGCCAAGTACAACTTCCACGGCACCGCCGAGCAAGACCTGCCTTTCTGCAAAGGAGACGTGCTCACCATTGTGGCCGTCACCAAGGTAATCAGGTGGCGCCCACCCCACCCTCTCACTGCTGGGCCTTCCCTCTGCAGGGGGAGGTGGGCCTGAGAGCATGTCTGGGCTGCCCTCTCCCCAGGACCCCAACTGGTACAAAGCCAAAAACAAGGTGGGCCGTGAGGGCATCATCCCAGCCAACTACGTCCAGAAGCGGGAGGGCGTGAAGGCGGGTACCAAACTCAGCCTCATGCCGTGAGTACTACAAGGAGGGGTTGGGGAGGGAAGGGGCCCTGGTCCTCCTGGAGAAGCATCAGGAACAAGCAGGGAGGCCAGAGTGAGGGGCTGGGGTGTTGGGGAGGGCTTCAGGAGGGAGGTATAGGGCACGGGTGTGGGACCTCACAGAGCAGGGCTGGGAGCAGAGGTGGGAGGGTGTCGAAGAAGGGACAGGGAGCAGAAGAGGAGGGCCTCAAATGCCTGACTGAGCGAGTGTGAGCCACGGGTGCCAAGCAGAGGGAAACCCTTCAGAAAGGAGAGCCAGGGTCAGTACCTTTGGGCCACCATGACCTCCGGCCCTGCTGCTCCCCAGTTGGTTCCACGGCAAGATCACACGGGAGCAGGCTGAGCGGCTTCTGTACCCGCCGGAGACAGGCCTGTTCCTGGTGCGGGAGAGCACCAACTACCCTGGGGACTACACGCTGTGCGTGAGCTGCGACGGCAAGGTGGAGCACTACCGCATCATGTACCATGCCAGCAAGCTCAGCATCGACGAGGAGGTGTACTTTGAGAATCTCATGCAGCTGGTGGAGGTGAGCTGGGGGGTATCCGTGGGTCCTCACTTCCACCCTCACATACCCTAAACCCATCTGGGGCCTTTCCACATAGCCCTGGCTTCTCGCTCCAGCCCCACTGCTTCTGCCTGGTGACCAGGCATGTGGGGCAACTTCTGTGAGCCCTCATTTCCTCACACCTTGGTGGAGCAGCTGCTGTGTGTCAGGACTCACCTCTGACCCCACAGTGCCACCCCGAGGAGGGGAGCCTTATCCTCATTTTATAGACCAGGAGTCGACGGTTCAGAGCAGTTAGGGGACCCACCTGAGGTCACACAGCTATAATTTGGTGCCAGGACTGGATTCTGAGTCTGTCTGATCCCAGAGCTAACTTTCCTCCAGCCACTCACAGACCTGCATACCCAGAAGTGTGTACAGAAGCATGAGCCATGCGCCTTGATCGCCAGGGCCCCTGAGGCTCTCGCAACCTGCATGGACATGCCCACGGGTCCCTGCAGCTTCCCAGGCCCGCTCTGCCAGTCCTGGCCAGGCCACACCTGGCATCCGGTAGCCACAGACAGCCTCCCGTGTCCCTCTGTATTTACTCTCATCTTCCTCCCCTGCTGGCCTGGCTTGGCCTGTGGCAGGTGAGGGTGGGGTCCTGGGCTCTCCTGGCTAGAGGCTGGTGTCAGGACGGAGCCATGGGTTGCCCTCTGCATTGGATACCTGTGGGGTCCAGAGTGGTAGCAACAGCTGAGTGTCCAGCAGCCACATGTAGGGTGGCATGGGAAATGGGCCATACTTCATAATCCGGGACTTCCCTAACCCCTGCCCTACCAGAAATGGGGAGCCCTCCCCACTCAGTGACTCCAGGCTGGGCGGGGCCGGCCTCTGCCGCCCCCTGGTGGTCAGGCCTGGACGGTGCATATGGGGCACCTTGGGCTGTCTCTGAGCACCCTGCCCCCCACACCCTGCAGCACTACACCTCAGACGCAGATGGACTCTGTACGCGCCTCATTAAACCAAAGGTCATGGAGGGCACGGTGGCGGCCCAGGATGAGTTCTACCGCAGTGAGTGCACCCCACTCCAGACCTCTTGCCCACCCACCTCCTCCCACGCAGGCTTCCTGGCACTGCCCTTATCCAGGAACCTCCAGAGAACCCCATGTGCTTGATAGTCCAGTCAGCCTCTGTCATCCCAGCCATGTCCCTAGCAGCCTCCAGGCCCTCACTGGCCCCTCCCCACAGGTGGCTGGGCCCTGAACATGAAGGAGCTGAAGCTACTGCAGACCATTGGGAAGGGGGAGTTCGGAGGTGAGCTGGGCTGGGCTGCCTTGGGGGGGCGCCAAGGGACTCAGAACTTGGGAACAAGCCGACCTCTCTGCCCCCAGATGTGATGCTGGGCGATTACCGAGGGAACAAAGTCGCTGTCAAGTGCATTAAGAACGACGCCACCGCCCAGGCCTTCCTGGCTGAAGCCTCAGTCATGACGTGAGTTGGGGCGGGGTAAGGGGGAGGTTGGCCTAAGCTAGGAGTGAGGCTCCAGCTTCCGCTTTCTGACCACTCTCGTCCTGCCCCAGGCAACTGCGGCATAGCAACCTGGTGCAGCTCCTGGGCGTGATCGTGGAGGAGAAGGGCGGGCTCTACATCGTCACTGAGTACATGGCCAAGGTGGGCACCTGCTGAGACCCGGCACTCGGGTTTTCCAACTGCCCTGAAACCCCCACTGTGCTCTGGGGCCCCTGCTCCCTCGGTCCCCCGACCCCAAGTGAGCTTTGAGGTCACCAGGGCTGGGCTTTTGTCCTGGTTTACCATTTATTGACTGTAACCTTGGACAAATCATGTCACCTCCAAGCCTCAGCATCACATCTGGGAAATGAGATAATAACAGCTTATCTCAGAGATTTGTGAGAGTCAAGGGATAAGGCAGGAATAACACAGAGCAGTGTCCAGCACGGATGTCCTGGCCCCTCCCCACTCCTTCCCTGTCTCACACCTCCTTGGAGCGTCAACACCCACCCGGCCCCAGCCTGCTGTGTGAGAGGGCTGCAGGGCACATCTGACCTCTGGGCCTGGTTTGTCCTTCCTTCTCCCAGGGGAGCCTCGTGGACTACCTGCGGTCTCGGGGTCGGTCAGTGCTGGGCGGAGACTGTCTCCTCAAGTTCTCGCTGTGAGTGAAGCAGCCTCTTGGATGGGTAGGGTTTGAGGGGTACCCTGCCCTGCTATGGGGGCCCCAGTCTGAGGGGACGTGTGCCTGGCCTACCCCCAGAGATGTCTGCGAGGCCATGGAATACCTGGAGGGCAACAACTTCGTGCATCGAGACCTGGCTGCCCGCAACGTGCTGGTGTCTGAGGACAACGTGGCCAAGGTCAGCGACTTTGGTCTCACCAAGGAGGCGTCCAGCACCCAGGACACGGGCAAGCTGCCAGTCAAGTGGACAGCCCCTGAGGCCCTGAGAGAGAAGGTGGGGCAGGCCTCCCCTGGGGCCTACAGAGGTGGGCAGGAGTCCTGGGTCGCTCCCCACCCCTAGAGTCCCGGGATCTGACGCTGCTTTTTCCATCCACGTGGCAGAAATTCTCCACTAAGTCTGACGTGTGGAGTTTCGGAATCCTTCTCTGGGAAATCTACTCCTTTGGGCGAGTGCCTTATCCAAGAATTGTGAGTATAGGTACTGGGATCAGGGTGGCTCTTGGAGCAACGAAGGGGTTGGCAGGGGCATGAGCCTCCTTGGGCCCTGCCTCCCCAGTCAAGGCCTGGAAGCCTCAGGCCTGCCCTGGGGAGCTCACAGGCCACTCTCCGGGCCTGGGTCTGGGGCAGAGCTGATGGGCATCCCTGAGAGGCTGCTGGGTAGATGTCTTCTCTGGGGCCAGGCCCTGGACTGACTCCTGCCATCCTCCTGGCCACAGCCCCTGAAGGACGTCGTCCCTCGGGTGGAGAAGGGCTACAAGATGGATGCCCCCGATGGCTGCCCGCCCGCAGTCTATGAGGTCATGAAGAACTGCTGGCACCTGGACGCCGCCATGCGGCCATCCTTCCTACAGCTCCGAGAGCAGCTTGAGCACATCAAAACCCATGAGCTGCACCTGTGACGGCTGGCCTCCGCCCGGGTCATGGGCCTGTGGGGACTGAACCTGGAAGATCATGGACCTGGTGCCCCTGCTCACTGGGCCCGAGCCTGAACTGAGCCCCAGCGGGCTGGTGGGCCTTTTTCCTGCGTCCCAGCCTGCATCCCTCCGGCCCCGTCTCTCTTGGACCCACGTGTGGGGCCTGGGGAGCCCACTGAGGGGCCAGGGAGGAAGGAGGCCACGGAGCGGGAGGCAGCGCCCCACCACGTCGGGCTTCCTTGGCCTCCCGCCGCTCGCCTTCTTAAGAGTTTTATTCCTTTCCTTTTTTGAGATTTTTTTTCCCGGGGGTTAATTTTTATTATTTTTCAAGATAAGGAGAAAGAAAGTACCCAGCAAATGGGCATTTTACAAGAAGTACGAATCTTATTTTTCCTGTCCTGCCCATGAGGGTGGGGGGGACCGGGCCCCTCTCTAGGGACCCCTCGCCCCAGCCTCATTCCCCATTCCGTGTCCCATGTCCCGTGTCTCCTCGGTCGCCCCGTGTTTGCGCTTGACCATGTTGCACTGTTTGCATGCGCCCGAGGCAGACGTCTGTCAGGGGCTTGGATTTCGTGTGCCGCTGCCACCCGCCCACCCGCCTTGTGAGATGGAACCGTAATAAACCACGCCATGAGGACACCGCCGCCCGCCTCGGCGCTTCCTCCACCGAGCCTGCCTGTCCTGCCCGGTCGTCCCTCCCATGCCATCTTGTCCATCCCCCTGTCTCTGTGAGTGGGGCTGGGTGGGGAGCATGGCCGGGAGATGTAGTCGCCGCTTTGTGTCAGCTGCACGAGTGAGTGTCCTGTGTTTGCCCTCGGGGAAGTGCTCACCACCCGCCCCACTGTCCAGCTACTGCCGAGCCCAGCTCTGGAGCCCCGTCCACAGGATGCTGCCTGGGGGTTCCAGCTGCCTCCCCTGGTGTGGTGTTCAAGCCTGCAGCACAAGGAGGGCTAGAGCCAGGGATGGGAGGGAGCCCAGGCCTGCACAGATGGGAACGGGATTCTAGTCAAGCCCCCTGTGCGAGAGAGAGAAAAAGCAATGGTGGGCCCGGTGGGCTTCCTTTGGTAGGAAGAGAAGTGTCTCATGCCTGAGAAGATGCTGACCCGGAGGGGTACAAGAAAGCTCCTGGTGGTTCTCCACTTTTACCCATGATGTCACAGCTTTGCCCTGTCCCCACCCCTGCCATGTGCCAGGCCTTATGTCATACCAGACTTGGCAGGGGCTGAGGATGCAGGGCAGAGGGGAAATCTTGGCACCTTCCAGTCAGGGGGACTCCCTCCCCACCCCACCTTGTCAGGGCACATACAGGGAATGTGGACCAGCCATGAGATTTTCTCCCCTCACTCAGGTTGTCCAGGGGCAGTGGTCAGTACAGAACCTCTGAAGGTGTGAGGAGGTTTCATGTATTCCCTGAGGCAGGCAGGTGGGGTGTTCCCCTTGTCCTGTTGTGGCCCTGACGCTTCCTCTACCAGCCAACAGGACCTGAAATCCAGGGAGATCTGACTTTGAAGTCTACCTTGTGTCTGTTCCTCAGCCCCGCTGTAGTTCCATCCACCATGATCTCTCCTGGCCCAGTGCAACAGCCTCCTTGCCACCTCCACTCCATCTTCTCTGCACACTGCCAGACTAATTTTTCTAAAACTACACCATTCATTCAACAACAAATATTTGAATACCTACTGTTTGCTAGGACTGGGGTTCATCAGCAAGCAAAACACACCCTGTGGAGTCCACAGTTGGGAAGACAATCAAATAGTCACATATAGGCGGTGACAAGCTTAAGTGCTACATGAGGAACCCAAAACATGGGAATCTTTGTAGATCAGGGAGGGCTTCTGGAAAGAAGCAGCATTTAAGCTGAGATCTGAAGCGGAATGAACAGGTTGTACGGCAGGAGTTAGCAGCATTCCAGGAAGAAATGCTGAGACTGGACGGAGGGCAGCTTTGTCAGATCTCCAAGAAGGTGGGTGCGGATGTACAAACAGCCAGGCCTGAGAGGTGAGACTGTGGCTGTGGCAAAGACGTGGCTTTTATCAAACAGAATAATGGGAAGCCAACGACAAGTTTCATCAGGAGGGTGACATGTCAGATAATCTTTTTTTTTTTTTAAATGAAGTTTCACTCTGTCACCCAGGCTGGAGTACAGTGGTGCCATCTCAGCTCACTGCAACCTCCATCTCCTGGATTCAAGCGATTGTCCTACCTCAGCCTCCCAAGTTACTGGGATTACAACAGGCATGCGCCACCACAGCCTGGCTAATTTTTGTATTTTTAGTGGAAACGGGGTTTCACCGTGTTGCCCAGGCTGGTCTCAAACTCATGACCTCAAGTGATCCACCACCTCGGCCTCCCAAAGTGCTGTTATTACAGGCGTGAGCCACTGCACGCGGCCCAGATATGTGTTTTTGAAACCACCCTAGCTACTGGTAGAGGAGTTTCAGGGAGTACAGTGAGGACTGGTCCAGATGAGAGACGGTCTCCAGAGAGATTTAGCCCCAGAGCTAAAATTGACCGAACTTGGCTATGGATTCTGTGTGAGGGTGGAGGAGAGGGAGGGGCCACAGCAAGGCCTGACTGAGCAGAACGGATGCAGGGAGGGCAGCAGGGGGCATCCGCTGAGCGAGGACGGGAGACTCATGCTTAGGAGGGAGCATCACGAGCTCTGTTAAGACCATGTTAAGGTTTTTGTTATTTTGATACAAGGTCTCGTTCTGTCGCCCAGGCTAGAGTCCAGTGGTGCAAACACAGCTCACTACAGCCTTGACCTCCCAGGCTGAAGCAGTCCTCCTGCCTCAGCCTCTCAAGTAGCTGGGACTACAAGTGCATGCCACCATGATCGGCTAATTTTTAAATTTTTTGTAGAGACGAGGTCTCCCTATGTTGCCTAGGCTAGCCTTGAACTCCTGGGCTCAAACGGTCCTCCTGCCTCAGCCTCCCAAAGTGTTGGGATTACAGGTGTGAGCCACCACACCCAGCCACACATTGAGTTTTAAGTGAAGCTTTGAAACTGCAAAGAAGCCGGGCGTGGTGGCTCACACCTGTAATCCCAACACTTCGGGAGGCCAAGGCCAGTGGATCACTTGAGGTCAGGAGTTAAGAGACCAACCTGACCAACATGGTGAAACCTCATCTCTACTAAAAATATAAAATTAGCCAGGGGTGGTGGGGCACACCTGTAATCCCACCTACTCAGGAGGCTGAGGCAGGAGAATTGCTTGAACCAGGGAGGCAGAAGTTGCAGTGAGCCGAGATCATGCCACTGCACTCCAGCCTGGGCAACAAGAGCGAAAGTGCATCTCAAAAAAAAAAAAAAAAGGTCAAGAAGAGGAGGTTGACCACACAAGTGCCATGTCATAAAAGCCAAGGGAAAAGAACTTCAAGAGGAGGAAGCCACCAGGGTCCCCGCCTCCCAGAAGGCACAGAGATGGAGGCTGAGTCTGCCACTTGGTTTTGTTTTGTTTATTTATTTATGAAACGGAGTCTCACTCTGTCACCAAAGCTGGAGAGCACCGGCACAATCTCAGCTCACTGCAACCTCCGCCTCCTGGATTCAAGCAATTCTCCTGCCTCAGCCTCCCGAGTAACTGGGATTACAGGTGCCCGCCGCCACGCCTGGCTAATTTTTGCATTTTTAGTAGAGACAGGGTTTCACCATGTTGGCCATGCTGGTCTTGAACTCCTGACCTCAGTGATTCATCCACCTCAGCCTCCCAAAGTGCTGTGATTACAGGCATGAGCCACTGTGCCCGGTCAAACTGCCCCATCGGGGTTTAGCCACAACGCCTGTGTTGATAAGGGATGATTCCACAGTGACTAGAGAAGGATGTGAGCAACGCAAGAGGTGGACAGTCTGGGAAATGAAGTTGTAATGGAGATGAGAGAGGAAGAGTGACAGAGGATGTGGTAGTATTTAGTTTTTTCTTTTCTTTCTTTCTTTCTTTTTTTTTTTTTTTTTTTGAGAATGGAGTCCTCTAATCTGTCGCCTAGCTGAGTCGCACGTGCTGCAATCTCAGGCTCACTCGCAACCTCTGCCTCCCAGGTCCAGTATTTCTCCTGCCTCAGCCTCCCGAGTACTGGGACCTACAGGTGCCCACCACCACACCCAGCAATTTTTGGTCATTTTTAGTATAGTAGACGTACGGTTTCAGTTAATGTTGGCCAGGCTGGTCTCGATCTCTTGACCTCGCGACAAAG